TCCAGGCAAGTGATGGTCTAGGCTTACCCTTTTTTGTGGAAACAGAGCCTATAATTTCTTTCCCAACCCAAAGAGCAGGCCACCTGGAGCATTCCTTTGCAGTGACTGCAAGGTCTGCTATAGGCCTGCAAGGTCTGCTATAGGACTGAGGCTTGCTGGGATACGGATCCCAGGACAACCTTGGCCCGTTCCTTGGGGCAAAGGGCAGCACAGCAGGGAGAACTTCATGCTGTGGGAGGTCAACCATGGATGGCTTTGTGACAGGAAATAAACTGCAAAACTGAACATACTCCATCCTGTTGCACGTGAAGCCAGTTACTTTTTATGCCCATTTCCCACAATGCTTTCTGACTGACATCCCTTACATTAAAAAACAGCGGATAAAAGGGCTGCACATTTTAGCAGCAGGCCCAAACACTGCTTTATGTGCAAGTATGGTTTAAAAGTGCACAACAGTGAGATGTACTCCATATTTTCAAAATATTATTTTAGCTTTTCAGATGTAGTTTCTGAAGTTGCATTTCCATTTGGCCTGTCCCTATGAAGTACAGTCCCATGATGATATGGTGAAGCACAGACCAATAGCAGTTGCACAGATGTTAGAGAGGAGGACTGGAAGCCGTGATGAGGAGCAGTTCTTGTTTCAGTATGATAAGAACTGATGTATGTAAAACACTTTGATATTTTGGGATGTAACTTACCACAGAGGAGACATTAATATTATTCAGTGGGTTTGCCAACCCAGTCTTCTGAGAGCATGACAACCCTATTTTGAATAAAAGGCAAAAACATCAAGGGAGACACACAAGAGACCTGCTTTTACTCTGCAATGGCTGATAGAAAAGTCAAAGCAAATTCCACTGTATTTGCTAAGTGAAATGCTATTGGATTTTCTTTTCTCTTTTCTCCTGCCTTTTCAGTTAGTTCTGGAGAGTTCAAGGCTATCAACCACCAACAAGAAACTATGCATTTCATCATGCACTTCAAAAACTTGACATTCAACAAAATAAATGGATAAACCAACATCATGGGATGCTTTCAGACAGTAATTTTTAAACCAAGATTATCTTTTCCCCATGAATTATTAACGTGTGCTAGGATGAGAGCAGCAACAAAGCTATTTTCACACATTTGCATTTTCAAATGGAAGCAGACAAATTTTATATCAGATTGCCAATACAGTAAAGCCAGCTACAAGGGCTAACGTAAATGTTTTTACCTCTCTGCAGGCCTGACCTAGAGCCTAATGATGTCTATCTGGAAACATGTTTCCTGCTTATGTTATAATGAAAGAGTTTATCACTTTGACACTTTAACAAAGCAAATAGGTGCTGTTTTTAATGCTCATAATAACCTGATCTATTTGCTGAATGCTGCATCACTTGGCTTCATTCTGAGAAGAGGGGGCAAATACCTACATGTTGCCAGGGGTTCTTTATAGAGAAATAGATTGTTATGTATGTTTCCCAACATTACCCAAACTCAGGTAAAAGCAAGAAATATTTATTAATAATAGTAATTATTAGGATTGGCAAGCTGGTCAATTGACTGCATATTTTTGACTGGTCAAAGATTATAGCAATTTTATTTTTAAAAACTACATATTTTTGGTAGTTTTCTAGACATAAATATGATTTAAAATTTGTTTTGACATATTTGTGTATGCAAAAGTTGTGCTTTTCTGTGTATTATTTGGACCTATTGGTAACTTTTTACCATTTATGAATGACACTTGCCTGGCCAATTGACCAAACTTTATTTGACTGGTCAAATACCCAACCCTAGTAATTGTTTCTAATAGGCTGAGTGCTATACTTGATTTGAGACACCCATCTCAATAGTTTTAGCTGCAAATATCACATCCCCCTTCCTGTATGTTTAGTATGCAGTCTTGTAGCTCATTAACATCTGTTAGGTTGGTATGTAATGATTTTATGGCTACTTCTGTGGAGACTTAAACCTCAAGTTTTCACGTTTCTGGATTAGTTATGGATATAAGCCTGTGAAACCCCTGAAGCCTGAAGTGAAGATCTGATTCAGGGTTTGCCAGACCTAAATCTTTACCATCTCTCTCCGTATATGGTTCCCACCACCATGTATCTGAAAATCTCACAAAATTATAACATTTACATGGGTTATACTTGTTTCTAATTTTTTTACCATTTGTCACCCAAAAATTAAAGTTTTTAAAGAAAGCAGGACCAGGGTTGTTTTCTATATTGAAGGCCAGACTGAAGAAGTGGGTTTTACATTTTGTTCAAAAGGAATTTAGGTCCATGATTAGTCGGGTCTCTTCCAGGAACAAGTTTCAGATTTGTGGGCCACTTGACCAGAAAGCTTTGTATCCTTGGCACAAAAGTTTTACTGTTAAGATTGATATTTCATTGTTATATTGGACTGTAGTGTTCAGGATTATAGAGGATGTGGTTTTCTAAGTACTTTGGAGATGAGTTGCATGGAGAGGGGCTTTGTACGTGAGAAAACGGCTTTGAGTTCAACCTACTATGCAATGGGGAGCAACAGAAGAGAACAGGCTCTCAGAAGTGTTGGGGAGGCCATTGTCATCTGGTATAAATTAGAGAATCTTTCCTTATGCTGTACTTCTGCTCAGCTCTCAGGGTGTGGCCTTTAGTCTGAAGTTTTCCAGGAATGGGAGAGATTTATATTTCTCTGTTTGATCTGTTGGAAAAAAAGTTCTATAAGCAGAGGCACAGAAGATATGCGTACTTGCAGAAGTTTTATACATTTCTGATAATGCTTACCCCTGCTTTTTTAAAGATACAAGTATTCATCTCATGCCTAAAGGTCATATATGCGACATAGAACAAAGGTAAAGTAAAACTGCTTTCTTACTAATTTACACACACACACACACACACACACTTTCTCCCCAGTGGTGCACAAGAAGAGAAAAAATCTTAAACGTGAGAAACAGAAAAGTAAAAACCCCAATAGATTACTTCTATGAAGCCACAACCCTACAGGCTTATAGATATATGGTTTTAAAGTATTATAGCCTGGGAAGGAAAAGAAATATCTTTCTGAATTGAGTTTCAGAACTGAAATATACTAGAAGTACATTTCTATATATTCAAATAGACTTGCTAGATGTATCAGGCTGACAAACATCACAT